GGAAATTACGTCCTTCAATTGCCCGTGGCAAGTAACGCCCTGTGGGTAAAACGATTCTGTTCTCCGCATTCCTTTTGCACTTTCCTTGGCGAATGTATTCCTCTATCGCAGGGCATTCCCGCATATAATGTCCAGTTTCAGAACAGAATCCGCACTGTCCTTCCACGAAGGCGCCATTCGGCCCTCTACGTTCTCCGTTCTGCGACTCGCGGAATGCCTGGTTCTGCGGAGGCAGAGCGTTCGCTGGTTTGGGGTCCTGGTTCCAGCGTCCGGAGCCTTCTCCGGGGTTCGTCTGGTTCTGGTAAGCCGCTCCTTGGGGTCGAGGATTACGCTGCTGCTCCGCGACGCGAGATAGTGACTGGATCTGTGCTTTAAAGTCTGAAAGCTCGCCCCGGACCGTGTTGGACAAGTCGACCATCTCCTTTTTAATGAAAGACGTGTCCTCGTCCGTTTCCCTGTAGATAGCTCCAGGTACTCCGTCGATTGCCCACTCCGCAGCTTCGACCACATCCTTCATCTCGTATGGCATGTCGCTCGGCTGGTCGCTCTTTACGATCTGCAGTCGTTGCAGGACCCGGAAGCGGAAGTCGGGGTGGATCCCTTTCATGAATAATTCGTTCATCTCGCGCTCCGAGATTTTGCTCTTGGATTTCAAGAAGTCCGCTACTCTTAAGAAATTCCTCTGATACACCCCGAACTCGTCTCTTCCTGCCGGAGGCTGAATGGTACCCATGCGGACGATCTCGCGGAGGTCAGTCCAAGTGTACTTCTTCTCGCCGTCCGATCCTGGATATAATTTCTTTATAGCTGCTTCGAATTCGGTGTAGGTCATGTTGGGCAATCTTTTTCCCGCCCATAGCTGCTCATCGTTTATATCCAGGTAGCGGAGGGCGATGTGAATATGATCATCGTCCGTTGTCCGCTCGGTCTCGACTCCGATGTCTTCAACGTCGCGAAAGTATCGGTTCAGGTGGAGCGGTTGACCATCAAAGCCGGGAGCAGATTTTCCTCCGCGAGCAGGTAGCGGTTTAGGGGCCATGATACGCGCTGGTTCAGGCTCGGGGGTTTCGTGTGTAGAAGGAGGTTCGGCTGATGTTAGGGTAAGGGAAGTGGGTTCAGAGGGGGACTGCGACTCTGTTGGTGTATTAGCTTCGGGGCTGGGCGATGGTTCAAGTCGTAAAGACAATTCTTCTTCCTCCGGAATGCCTATAGAAGTTAGTTCACTTAATTCAGATGTTACCGATCCCTCTTCTTCTTCCTCTGGAGTTGCTGAACTCGAAGCTAGAGGCTCCGGATGATGCTCGACGAGTAGGATCTCCTCGTGTAGAGTCCTTCGCGGTCCTTGGCTGGCTTTCTTCGACGCGTCTTTATCCCGTGTACTCCTTCTGAGCGTTCTGCTTGGATCCAGCTGATAATAAACCCCTCGTGGTGGGCTCCAGTTGTGGTGCGGACTACAGTATTATACGTGTCTTGGACAATTTGTGTCCTAGTGTGACGTTTATAAATGTTGTTCGTCCTCTAGAGGTTTATTGAACAAGCTTGGAGCCTTGTCTCGCGCTCGGAGTTGGGGAATTGGGTGTGTGTGTTTTTAATTCAGCGTTCTCTGCTGAAAGGAGTACTATCTACAGGCTCCTCGACAAGTTGTCGAGGTCCGTGGCTATGAATTCGTCCGACTTTATGTCGAATGGGCTCCTAGCCTTCCCGTTTTCTGGGATTCGAGTCGTATTCTTTACAGACCGCTCGGGAGGGGACGTCGAGGCCGCGAATAGAGGTCGAATCGTCAGCTATGACGAGGAATATATGGTTTATTTGATTTGTCGTGATTCTCGTCGCCCCGTTTGTTGACGAGATTCTGTCAGCGCCAGACGTTGACAAACTGTGAGTATGTTTCGAACCCCGGAGCTGCTAAACTCTGGTCTCCCGCTCCTTTATGCCCAAGTTTTCTTCGACTTCCCTTCCCAATTCTCTTTGGTCAAGGCTTTTCCAATGTAACAGGGATCCTGCTGAGCCGCCTACTGCGCTAGCTGGCTGTTATTATGCCGGTTCCACCTCTAGAACTCCGGTCTCTGTCCTGAAGCCTTCGAACGCCCTTCGATTTGGCGTATTCCAAAAGGCTACCGCCGGATTCTTCTTATTCCGGGACCTTGTTCCTTGGTTCGTGTAACTGCGTCAAGTGAATGATCGATGTAGGTTTTCGCAGACCCAACTCGCCCTAGCTAGGCTTATTGGATTTTAGGTGTGGGGGATACAAGATGTCCAACTCCTACTAATTTCTCCCTATTTATACTCCCAGCCTGCCGTACGCAGGCTGTGCCATCTCCAATAGTCTCGCACCCGTCTCACGTTAACCCCTTTGGCATCCGGAGGTGCTTGCCTCTGCCTCAAAGTCTCCCTCCAGTGTTGCTGCTCGGTCCACTTGCGACAAACGCCTCCGGAGTTGAGGCATACCGCTTTTGCTGCTCAATTCCTGATTTTAGAGCTCCTCGGACCTAAGGTTTTGCCCGCTCCGGACACGAGTTCTGAATATTTTGGTCCTGCGTCGAATTTCCTTTTTGGGCGCGATATTCAAAAATCGTCCGGAGGCTTGAGATTCGTTCAGCGGAATAGGAATGGTTGCTTCCTACGGCGGTTCCTTGGTTACGAGATCCTCCGGAGCACCATATTTGACAGGGACGGTCGCGAATCCGCCAAGTTCGAACGCGAAAACTCAGATATACCATATTTCACGAGTTTTCCTAGGTCCGGAGCTAATCTGCGGAATCGAGGTGGTTGGTCCCGTCGTTATCACGGTGTACGTTCTTCCGGACGCGTCGAAAGTCGCGCGTGTCGCGTATTTTTCGTTGCGCGTCGCGTGATCACGTGCTCGCGAAGCCGCTATATTAATTTTTTCTAGCCTGCGGCCGCGTAGGGTCGTGCGGCTGGGTGGGTCGCGGCGTCGGGGGTCGCGGCGCCGGGGGGCGCGGCGCTGGGAGCGCTCCTGCAGAAATTCGGCAGCAGTAGACGCGCGGAAGCGCGTTTTCTTGTGAAAAAGGCGTAAAAGACGTCGTTCGGGCGCGCGGAGGGCTTCTGCGACTTGGTTTAAGTGCGCCGGAGGTGCAGATTCACGCTGCCTTCCCTGCTGTATCAAAATCTGAGCGGCTGGATGCCCTTCTTTCGCAGTATAAGCCCTTTTCACGGAATAACCGTCTCATTTTCCGGCGCTGAGCCCGTTTATCACGTAAAAAACTGACTCCGGAACGCGTAGGTCCCTCTTTCTCGCGTCCGGTCGTACCCTAGCGTCGGTAATTCGGCGGCTTCCTCGTCCTGTCGTTCGAACGGTCTTTTACTCGTCCTTTCGTCGTGTTTTCGACGCGTAGAACGCGTCCGGAGGGCGTGGGCGCGCAGCGGGAACCGTATAATTCGAGTTTCGCTTCGCCGGAGTTGCGTGCGCGCAGGCTTCTCGTGTGCTGAGGAGTAATAGGTGCCTGCCTGAGTCCGTAGATGGCCTAGGGTGTGGCCTCCGGCCTGCCGGGCACGGCATAACGCGTCCGGAGCGGCATAACGCTTGCACCCTGGGTTCGCAACCTCCTCCGGAGCGCGTTTTCGTGCATCCTATCCTTATTTCTGCGTTCCTGCGCGCGTTCCTGATTTTTATGAGGAGGCCTTAACCCGTTCCAAGTCGCGAAATGAATATTTTCGTCGAAGTCCGCGCCTTGCTTTTCTTGATTGGTTCTATATTTGGCTGCCCTCCCCCTTCCTTTGTTATTATGCAATCATATCGTCCGCCTAGCTCAACGGTTAGAGCGTCAGACTCTTAATCTGAAGGTAGCGAGTTCGACCCTCGTGGTGGGCTGCGCGTGAGCGCACCTCCTTTTTGGGGTGTGGTCCGATCTCTTCGAATATTGGTTATAGTCAACCTCCCGTAGCGGTTGGTACCGCGTCCTCGTAATCCCTTTGTCTTTGCGAGGTTGCACGTTCGATTCGTGCTCGGGGAATTTCCCAGAGCCTTTTCCTTTTTCACGACTCTTTTTGCAACGGTCCCGTGGCGCAAGGTGCGCACCCTCTTCCGGTCCTTGGACAATAATCGTTTCGGAGGGTACCCAGGTTCGATTCCTGGATGGGGCGTAACTGACTCGAAACCTTTTTCCTGTTGGCTTGTTATCGGTCCGGTGGCACAGTTGGTAGTGCGCCGTTGCTGGGTATTCCCTAGTAGACGGAGGTCCTTGTTCGAATCAAGGTCGGATCATGGGCGGTCTTTTCGTGTGATTTTTTATTTCCCTCGCCGTTGTCTTAATGCTTTTCGCCGTCCGGTCTCTTTTTACTCGTTCCGGAGGTGCTTGTTCGATTCCAGGTCAGATCGTGCGTTCGACGGCAGGTGTTGGTGTTTTGTTCCAGCGATCCGGTGAGTTTCTTTACTGTCGTCCCGGAGCGGGTCCCATGGTGTCCATTTTACTGTTAAGGCCAGGTTCCGGAGTCGACACAAAGTGGAGCCTCACACCGGGTCTAGGGCAGCCACATGGGCTGCCCACCCCTGCGGCAAGCCGGAGCTCAAGGCCACAGGTAGTGACGGTTACTATCTTTGCGTATCTACGTTCAATTGCTTTCGGCTCTCTCGGGCCTCTACCGCAATTGTGTGTCATATATTAGAGCTTATTGGAAACAGCTGAAAAGTGAATTTTTAGTTAGTAGTGGGGCCTCTATTTGGCGCGACCTCCCGCTCTCACTTTTCAGTTGCGTCCAATAAGCTCTATTGTCCTACTCGAGATACCGCACACAAAGCCATCGCGCATGCAGCTCGCCCAGCAGCCAACGTGAGCTCACTTTCCCTCACAAGCCAATTTCACCACCAACACTGCTCCGAGAAGCCAGGGCGGTCAACATGAACGCAGGATCTGTCCATATTGTAGCCGAACTCCCTGCCGAAGGTACAGATTGGCGTCATCAGGCAGTCGATTAGCAAAGACTTGAATCGCGAGCAAAATGAACCGTGGGAAGTTGATCTAGAACGAAAAGAAAAAGAACTCTCGACCTGGGAGTCGAACCCAGCTTTCGCGCACATACATAGTGTATAAAGTGTACGCATCATGACAAGCGCGTGTACTAACCGATATACTAGTCAAGACATGGAAGCGATCGATTTTGATACGGTATTATACCAAAACATCCATCCCCGTGGTTTCGTAAACTGCTTCTTGCACTCCGTCCAAAGCAAAGATTTTTCATCGCTAGCCAGCTCTCCCATACTTACCATATCGATTGTCAAGGGCGCTTTCACCACACAGACGCACCAACATCTCGCCCTCCACAAGTGGATGAGCCTCCCGGGGACGCCGAAGTGAAGGAAGTATCCAAAGCTGTTTCGTCCTGCTCCCCAAGAGCCATAACTTAGAGCTCCCAGAGGTTCTTGTTTGTTTCAACCAACCTACAAGATTGGCGAAAGTGACCCGAGTATAAGTTAGGATTTTATTGAGTTTTGACGTTGACACGGTTCAAAAACCCTTCGCGGCCGTCCGAATTTAGACTTCATGTTAACGCACCCAAGCTTTCACGCTTCATCTTGTTTTGCCCTTGTCATAAATTATCAGTAACGATATAATCTTTACATTAGCATGTCATATTTTAAGCGGTTTCGCCGCCGCGCCGTCGACAAACACGGTCGGGCCCTTGGGCATCTCTCCAAGGACTTCTTTGGCCGCGTCGTCCAAATTAGGCTCGTCGAAGAACTCCCACTCTAGCGTGCCGCCGTATTGGCGCGGCAGATCCTTGGCGTCGATGAGCGTCAGCAGAGTCTCACTTGGGTTCTTGCCTAATATGTGGATCTTGTTGCGCGTGCCCGGGTCAAACCAACCCTAAGTAAGCCCAGTAAGAAATGTTCCCTTATCAACGGGGAGGCGAGTTACCTTTATCCAGCCCCAAATAGTCGGGAAGAAGGACGGCGCGTTGATGACCGCAATTGTGCTCAGCGTCTCGGGGTAATTGGCCGTGGCGAGCGTAGCGGATTCAGAGAGATGGCTCCGCAAGGTCCACATTGAACCAATCGAGACACCTTGCAGGTCAATAATGGTCACAACACAGGTGATCGGTGTTTGTGTTGGATGTGGCAGGTAACTGCACAGCGGCATGATAAAATCTGTCAGCCACTCGTAGAGGGCGATGCTGGGAGTAGCATCAGAGAGAGAGGGGGGAAAGGACGGAACAGGAATATTTACATTCGTTGATAGCGGCGTTCTGGCGGCACAGCGTTCAGTTCTTTCTGGATCGCACCATCCAACGATGCGAGGTGATACACATAGACAGGCATGCCGTGCTATAATCATTACCATAAGTTGGAGAACTGTTATGGCAAAATTACGCACCTTATCCCGCCTGCCAGTCCAGCGAGGATAGTATCTTCTACTGTTCTCCATTTCGTCGGAGTCAAAGGTGGGATATAGGTTATCGACGTCGTGCTTTGCTCTCCACGCCTGAGCATCGGAGAACTGTTTCGTTGCGGCCACAGGATCAAAGCTCCTTGCCCGCAGGAATCGCCTGAGAAGGTTGAGCCGCCGCGTCAGGACGCCGAGGATGCACCACGCACAATAAAGTCGGGTCATCGAGCGATCCCGGCTGCGCTGGATCGTAAAGCTTCGATTGGGCGAGTGTACCCTTGAAGGCTTCGAGAGCTTCCTCTTGCGCGGTAGAGAGATGACCGAGATGGCCCGTAAATATGTTGTATGAAGCACTGTCGCCCATTCTAAGCAGTCAGTGTATCGTCGTTCAAGGACTCTACTATACACCAGGAACTTCTAGTCCGCCACTCGAGGTCTGGGAGGAAGATGGGCAAAAGGCAAAGGGAGATGGACCCGCATGTCGCCCGCGTGGTGACCGGCGCCGAGATCCGCTGGATGACCAAGGTTTAATTTACGTAACAAGCCCGTTTTGCCTTCTGCCATCCGGACTCCGAGTCCGAGCTGACAGTGAGAGTACCTGCGGGCCCGGAAAATCGAGTCATCCCAGTCTCGACTCTCCGTGTCCATGGCCAACTCTGCTCAGGTGCTCACTCGCAGACTATTCGTGCTACCAAAGCGCACTGCCAGGCTACCGGCCGCCCACCATGAGATCCCTCCAGTCTCAGGCGTCTATTACCGGACCTGCAGCCGCCGCTTTGCGCTCGTTGACCCCTGATCAGATCTCCTTCGTCCAGAAGTTGCCCAAGGCAGAGCTGCACGCGCATTTGAACGGCTCCATCCCTGTTCCGGTACTTCTCGATCTGGCTCGGGACTACCGCGGTACTGCCTCCTCTCAAGTTCAAGCAGGTCTGAAGCGACTGGAGAACCTCGAACTCAAGGGGCTGGGCGAATTCTTTGGGCTGTTTCCGGCCATTTACGCGCTTACTTCCACACCACCAGCACTCGCACGCGCTGCGCGTGGTGTGCTGGGTGAATTTTTGGATGGTGATACTCCGCAATGCACGTATCTCGAGCTTCGCAGCACACCTAGAGCGACTCCTGATATGACGCGCGCGGAGTATGTTGAAACGGTGGTAACGGAGGTTGAACGATACCCCAAAGACAAGGCAGCACTCATCGTAAGTCTCAATCGGACCATGGACGAGCAGGAGGTCGAAGAATGCATCGGTATCGCTCGCGCTTTGAAAGCGAAAGGGAGGAGGATTGTCGGCATCGACCTGTGCGGAGATCCGTTGGTATGTGAATGATTCTATCTTCTCGCGTCCATTCTTATCAACCAGGCCGGCGATATGAACAAATTTGCGATGTATTTCGCAAACGCCAAAAGAGATGGCCTCGGAATCACACTCCACATTGCAGAAGTAATTCACTGCTATTCGGGGTTGAACTTGATTTGATGCACTTTCAGACAGAAGAGAACACGTCAGCGGATACCACGAGGCTTCTCGAATTCCAACCGGATCGACTCGGGCATGCGACATTCCTGGACGACGAGGCCAAGAACCTCGTCCTCAAAAATAAACCATGCATCGAAATTTGTTTGAGCTCGAACTTGCTGTACGCATAATCTACGACCCTGGATTCTCAGAAGACTGACGAGTCGCACCCTCAGTTGCAAGACAGTCTCAAGTCTAGATCAGCATCACGTCCGATATTATCTTAGGAAGAATCACCCTATTTCCATCTGTGTCTGTTTCTCCATTGTCCTTGAGCCTTCCTGTGCTGACCGGGGATGTTAGACCGACGACATTCTTCCCTTCCAAACTTCGCTGCTCGCGGAATAAGCGCTTCTGCTGGCTCAGGCGCCTCTCGGGCTTGGTCTGTCAGAGATAGAGGTGGAGCGAATTGCTGGCATGAGCATGGCCAATCGCATGCAGACTTCGATAGACTAACACAATCGATCCGTCGTCCTCATAGCCTCGCTGTTGATGAACTACGGGGTTTATACGTATCAAGAAACCACATCTCACCATTTATTTGTTGCAAGATATCCCCGAGTCAGTCCGTACATAGATAAGACATCCGTTCTGCGTCGTGTCATTCCTTGCGGGAGTTGGAAAGTCGTGTTCACCTCGTTTGACATCCTGGGAACATTTCGGAGACAGCCGAGTTCAATGTTGAATTTGAAACCAACCGCCACACTTGCAACTGGAGCCATTCCCAGGCTCTAATCCGTTTTGCTCCGACATGGCTATGTTCCCTACTTCTTCTTCTTTCCTATCAGAATGGAACCTCGAAAGATGAGCACCTCGACTTTCAAAATCGCCTCGGAGCGGTGTTTGACGCTGTTCTCAACGGTTGATGCATAGCATTCCCCAGTCGCCGCTCGGGTACGCATGCCCTACCCATCTCAAGGCATCTTATCGACCTGCACATTTGCCTTCGTGAAGTCGAATAGCCTCGTCAACCCACCCCGAGATCACCATGACTTCTACCATCTTGGAAGGAAGGCGTGCTCTGGCCTCCTCCTGTACGCAGAGGGACTCCGAGTCGCCCGCTAGCGTGTCTTATTTTCCACCACGAAATCAGTTCGATCCAAACCCGGTTCTATCCAGGAAGCGTTAAAAAGGAAGCCAGAATGAGCTGCCTTTCAACAATTCAACCCAACGCCGAAACAAAACGCACGATGAATCCATTCTCACAAGGCTGGTCGAACACTACTGCTGCCAATACAGACTACAACGCGTCGTGGGGAACCACTCCATCGATATACGGCGCCCTACCCTACCCAACTCCCCCGAGCGCCGCGCCGAACGTGATCACTTTTGCCTTCCTGGCGCCGAACGGGTCCGTCCTGAACTCGGTCGTCAATGGCCCGCAGTCGCAGACGTATTTCCGGGTCACCACGGACTCCACGACCGCCGGCTTTTCCATGGTTGAAAACGCGCAGCAGGAGACGATCGCGATGATCGAGTGGCGGAAGCACCCCGTTGTTGAAATAGTCGGCGTCGTTTCTAAGAGGAATAGTGCGCAGTGGCTGACGCTGTCGCCTGACAGGACGTGAGTAACCCGATGCGTATTTGTAGAGGCAGACTCATCTCACTTACTTACCCATGCGGCAGCCACCGACTTATGAACGTCAGAGGGCGCAACTTCAGATGGATGCCGGATGCACACCACGTTGGTGTACGTCGCCGCTTCTCCCGTGGCATCCTTCTCTGCTGACAACCCATCCTGTTTAGTTGTACAGTGTGAGCCCGGTCAACCCCAAGTTCTTTGGCCGAATATCGCAGGGTCGAGACGGAACCACCTTTGAGATAACGGCCGAAGGTCTCCAACTCGGACTCTTGGAGGTTTTCGTCGTTTCGGCCTTGCTGTTGATGTGTGGACGCAATATAGATTGAGCGAGACACGCAGTAGGGTCGTGTTTGAATTGACGGACACGTTGTAAAATTAGGACTTCACGCGGTTGAATTGACGGACATGTATGTGTTAGTTTTTAGATGTGTACGATAGATGACACTTTGCGGCGTGGCGAATCAAGTTTGTTGAGAAAGTGTTTCAACCCAGCTGCTGGTTTTTTGCCTTTCTCCCAAGTACGTTTACTTCGACGATTACTTGAAAAAAAGAGGGTGAGCAACAGGCATCGAGGAATGGATTTCGGCGCACCTGCAAATATGCCTTGAACGTTCGATGCGACCCACTGAAGAGCTCGGTTGAATCCTCCTCCAAC